GGAGGGCCTGGGGGAATCACAGGGGTCTCTCTTGGTGCTGAGCCGTGAGCGGAGGGCCTGGGGGAATCACAGGGGTCTCTCTTGGTGCTGAGCCGTGAGTGGAGGGCCTGGGGGAATCACAGGGGTCTCTCTTGGTGCTGAGCCATGAGTGGAGGAATCACAGGGGTCTCTCTTGGTGCTGAGCCGTGACTGGAGGAATCACAGGGGTCTCTCTTGGTGCTGAGCCGTGAGTGGAGGGCCTGGGGGAATCACAGGGGTCTCTCTTGGTGCTGAGCCGTGAGCGGAGGAATCACAGGGGTCTCTCTTGGTGCTGAGCCATGAGTGGAGGTCCTGGGGGAATCACAGGGGTCTCTCGTGGTGCTGAGTCCTGGTTCCATGTGTCAACTTCTCTCCAAGACCCTTCTGGCCGTGGAGTGGCAGGACTGACTCAGATGCTCCTCAGGCCCTTTCCAGCAGAAGTCAGCTGGGATTCTAAAGTAAACTGCCCTTTCCTTGGCCAACTTTTAAGAAACTGAGAGTCCAGTGTAGTTTTCTGGCAAAGAGACCACCTATGGCAAAGAGGTGGAACAACTGTTTAAATTAACCATCATCATATTTCAACTTGAGGTGTGGGATATTGTTTCAAAAAAAAATCCGCATTAACCCAGACATCAACCTATCTAAAGTCAAAATGGTCACATCCACAAAAGTAAGCCACTCTAGTACATTTTGTTTGATAATGATACTGGTTCTCACGGACCTGGAGAATGAATTTTCTTCAGTAAAGGTCATGCAATGTTTATGTATAGTATCATTCAAACACTGAACTCACTTAACGTGACCATCATGAACTGTGAAGATCATCTTCTAATCAGTAGTAATTTTTCTAAATTGCATTTTTTCCATACGCATATAAGGAAAGTCTAAACACATCACTGTTAATTTCCAGGAACAGCCAGGACTTGAACGATATTGCCACCTGCTTTATGAAATAGTAACTGGGGAATCTTAGTGGAAGTTATTTTCAAAATTATAAATTGGATTTATGGAATGTAAATTTGAGGATGTTTTTGAATCATTCTTTGTTTTTGTGAGAGTTTTGTCAGGAAGAGATGGAGTGTCTCAATGTGAAAGGAATATATGCCCAAACTCTGTGTGAGAAAGACTTCTGATGGGAGCATGTCCCATACAGTAATATCAGACCCCTGCCCAGTGTCAGCAAGTCGCCTCCTTCCCAGGCCAGCAGAAGCAGTGCAGACCGGCCTCCACTTCTGTTTCTCAGTGTTGGTTGAGAGAAGTGATTTGCTTGTAGCCTTCAAAAGATGAACATTTAGCGTGAGGTTTGGTGACTTCACAGTGGTCCTTGATGTTGCCTCACCTTTTACGGTCAGGAGTCGTGTCCTTCATTCAGTAAAAGTTAAGTCAGCATCATGGACAGCACACTGGGTATCTGTGAAGAACAAGTGAGAAAAGAAGGTGCAGTTCCCGACCCCAAAAAGCTATCCACTGGGTTGGAGCTGGGGGGACGGGATACAGAGCATGATGGCCGTGGGACAGGGCTGTGACCAGGCGCTGAGGACTCCTGGTGTGGACATGTGGTGGCAGGGGTCTGAGGCTGGCTCCAGTGAGCAGCAGCAGAGGACAAGGAGGTCCCCCCGGAGCAGGTGTCTGACACTGAGAGAGGCAGGTGGGGGGTGGTGGCCACGGCCAAGTTTACAGGGATGGGAAGGACAGAAACACCTGGTCCCCAGGCACAGGGACACACGTTTCATGAATCTGCAAGTTCAGGAGCTGCTCTCCTCAGAAATATTGCTGTGGCTGCACCACAGAGACTCTATCAGAGGAGTCCAGGCTCCAGCCAGAATGTCCCCCTTCCAGTGAGTGTTGTGGAACCCCAAGACTGGTGCTAGGGGAGCCCATGCAGGCGGTGACAGTGAGGCTAGAACATGTGTGGAAGGCAGTAAGGAGGATCCAACACACACTTTCCTGACCAGCATTCTCTTACGATAATAAACCAACTCAACATTGTGGAACTGAAATGTTTATAGCTCAACATTTTCTCCTACCTGGTATTATGCTTTGAAAAAACATGAATTCAGTGTAAGGAAGATGCGTCTCTGATGTGGACCCCCGTGGTCCTTCATCTGCTGTGACGTACTCCATTGGAGTAACGGGTTTGATTCCCTAAGGAGGGTATATTTTATGTGCTATCTTATTAATTAAACTAAATCTCTCATTAATACATGATACGTATCAAGATACTGTATTTTTAAAACTTCAAAAACAAACGTTCCAGGTTTCAGTGACTGCTGATCTGCCCTCAGTAAGTTCCTTTCCATCTTCCGTAACTTCTAACTTTGTATATCTGCCCTTTACCCACCTTTGGTTTTCTCTGCTTACATTTTTCTGGAAATTTTCCTTTCAGGATTCGGGGGTTCTTTCATGGCCCCTTCTCCGTCCCCCGTGACTCCAGCTCAGAATAACCTGCTGCAGCCCAATTTTGAGGCAGCTTTCGGAACAACACCTTCAACTTCCAGCAGCAGCTCCTTTGACCCGTCAGGTGAGGCAGTGACCCCCACACGCTCTCCTCATTTATCTCAGCGACATTAATATACCACCCAAGGTTAGCGTGTTACCAGGAAACCTACAGCAAGCCAATACCAACCTGAGTTTTCAAACCTTGATAATCCTCATTCTGTAACTGAGTAAAAATTCCCAGTACGCCCGTTAGCTTTAAGAATAACCTGCAGTTCTTTCTGGTTTTGATTTTTAGCAGAAATCTAACTTAACACGCACACCATCTATTTGCATGAGCTTACACAGCTTAGAGATGCTGAGCAAAACCAAGTACTTGGTACTGAATCCTGTATAGTGTCTGGATACGTGAGCACCCGGTGCTGTTGCTTACACCCTCCAAAGCCTGCATGGCCTCCGTTTTATGAAATTGAAACACAGTATTCTCTGCCTGCCTCTAACCTTTCATCACTGCTGTCATTTTGTTTGTATTCTCTTCCATTCTGTTCTTCCCATGCTGGGTCCTCACTACAATTTTCAATTGGTGAGTTTTTGGCAATTAAATGTGTTTCAGAAACACCCTGAATATGTCCCGTGCCTGACAATTTGGTCGCTTCCGTTGCCAGTGCCTGGTCGAATGCTGTCCTTCTTTAGAATTATCGTACAGTAGTATGAATGTAGATATGTGTAGTTTCTTGATAAAATTTAATGACCACAAAGGTTTTGACATAGAAAAGATATTAGAAATATCTTATGGAAATACTATGAGTCTGCATTTTGAATGATCTGCACTGCAGAACTGCACAAAGGGTGACTTCTATGCTCATCAGGAACCTTAATGATGGTGTTTGAGTCCTAATACTTAAAACAGCATTTGGCCTAAATACACTCTCAAAGTTAGAACCAGAAGTGATCTCTGTAATGAGAAAAAACAATATCAAAATTGTTACTTCTACGATATGATCAACTGGCCAGGCACAGTAGCTCATGCCTGTACTTTGGGAGGCTGAGACAGGAGGAACACTTTAGCGGAGGAGTTTGAGACCAGCCTGAAGTAAGACCCCACTTCTAAAAGGAAAAAGAGTCTCAGCACCCATAGCACAGTGGTTATGGTGCCGGCCACATGCACCCAGGCTGCTGGGTTTGAACCCTGTAGGGACCTGATAAAACAACAATGCACCTGCAACAAAAATATAGTTGGGCGATGTGGCAGGCTCCTATAGTCCCAAGTACTTGGGGGGCTGAGGCAAGAGAATCACTTAAGCCTCAGCCCAGGAGTTTGAGGTTGCTGTGAGCTGTGACATCACAGCACTCTATGGAGGGTGACATAGTGAGACTCTTGTCTCAAAAAAAAAAAGAAGTTAGCTGAGTGTGGTGGCACATTTCACCAGCAGGAGGATCACTGGAGCCCAGGAGGTTTGAGGTTACAGCTATAATTATGCCACCATACTCCAGCCTGGATGACAAAGTGAGATTCTGTCTCAAAATATAAAAATAAAATAAATCAATAAAATAGGATAAACTCTTTTTCAGCTACTTTTTACTAAGTTCCAACCATTAGATCAGATTTTGTTTTGACACTAATTTCATAGAAAATTAGAAGATACAACTTTTTTTTCTCATTTAAGAACTATTTTAGAAGTAAGCATCTTAGGTTTTCAGAGTAATTTGTTTAGTCTTTGCTAAAATCCCCCCCATTTTAAATCAAAAGTATTTTAGTGATTGTTTTTAGTCAGAGTAACAGTGGCTCCACTTATGTGAGTACTTATCTGTATAGAACAAGCATTGTCAAAAGCATGATCTATATTGTCTAACTTGAACTTCGCAACAAAGCCATGTGGTAGTGGTGCTCTTCCCATTCACAGATGAGAAAGCTAAACAGCTCAGATGGTGACTTTGTGAAAGGCCCACAAAGTGAGGCAGGGGCTGACCTGGAGCCCAGTTCTGGCTGTGAAGTCTGCACCCCTGCCGGAACCTTCTACAGGCACTTTCCGTCTCTGCTGGCGTTCATTAGTATTTCCATACTTTATGAGTAGAAATACGTAGATGTGTTCTTCCTGGTGTTGTAGTCACAGAAAGTGTGAATTACATGCCCTCTCTGTAAGATTGTATATTCATTTGTTTCCATGGTTTCTCAAAAGACAGTTTCACTTTAATCTTGCAGAAGGCATTTCAGTTATTCTGAACCCAGTCTGTTTGATTTCCAGTGTTTGATGGTCTAGGTGATCTTTTGATGCCAACCATGGCACCAGCCGGGCAGCCTGCACCTGTCTCCATGGTACCACCCAGTCCCGCCATGGCAGCCAGCAAAGCCCTTGGGAGTGACCTCGACTCATCCCTTGCCAGCTTAGTAGGCAGTGAGTATCTAGTTCTCTTTCACTGGAGCATATGAGAGTTGGGTTTTCTTGTCCTTGCTATCATGTTTTGTTTCTGGATTCACATACAGGCGAGTATATTGAGGAATAGATAGAAGTCATAGTGCCTCACCCAGCACAGTCCTTGGAAGGCAAGCAGTGGCTGCACCAGCATCTCACAACCAGCCACCAGGCCATTGTCAGTCTAGATTCACAAAGGTGTAATTATAGGTGGTATGCAAGTATTAAACCAGGGTGTTATGTGTCATAAGGGCTTAATTTTTCTATTTCTTTGGAAATGAGAACATAGAGTACCATATTAAATGAGTATGTTTGCAAATTTATTATCCAAATGAGTTTCAGGCATTGACTGAGCAAATACTGATTATGTACTGAGCATTATTCCAGGCTCTAGAGATAAATGAGTGAACAAAACAGATAAAAGTTTCTGTTCTCATGGAGCTTGGGAAGGGCAGAGACAAACTTTAAACTAAGTAAATTCTATAGTAGTTTGAAAAACAAGTTCCACAGAAAAAAATGGATCAGACAAAGGGGAGTTGGGAGGGCGACAGGGTGACACTTAGGGTGACCCTCAACAGGAAGGAAACATTTGAGCAAAGATTTTGAAGGCAAAGGAGTGATTATGTGGTTATGATGGTTATCTGTGAGCAAATGAAATAGTGCAAAGATTTTGAAGGTAAAGGAGTGATTATAATGGTTATAATGGTTATCTGTGAGCAAATGAAATAGTGCAAAGACATTGGGGCTGATTCAAGGGAAATTGAGGATGGACCAGTGGCTGGAGCTGAGTAACTGAAGGAGAGAACCTGAGGGCACTGTTACAGTGAAGGGGGAACCTGAGGGCACTGTTACGGTGAAGGGGGAACCTGAGGGCACTGTTACGGTGAAGGGGGAACCTGAGGGCACTATTATGGTGAAGGGGGACCTGAGGGCACTGTTAC